CCTGTTTTTCTCTTTGTTGTTGTTTTTCTTCTTCTTTTGGTGCTTCTGTGTGTGTGTGTGTGTGTGTGTGTGTGTGTCTACAGCTTGAACTCTGGGCACTGTCTCTGAGCCTTTTTTTCCTCCCACTTGAGATTAATGCTCTAAGAAGTGGCTCTGTGGCTCAAGTGGTAGAATGCTTACCTTGAACTGAAGAGCTCAGGGACAGTGCCCAGGCCCAGAGTTCAAGCCCCATGACTGACAAAAAAGTAAATAAAAAAATTAGTGCTCTACTATGAGCCACAGCTCTACTTTCCAGCTTTTTGGTGTTTAATTGGAGATACTGAGTCTCATGACCTTCCCACTTCTGGTTTTCTGGTGGTTAATTGAAGAGTCTCACAGACTTTCCTGCCTGGGCTGGCTTTGAACCATGATCCTCAGATCTCAGCCTCCTGTGTGGATAGGATTACAGGTGTGAGCCACTGGCGCCAGCTTAGGGTTTATCTTTTTTTTCTTTTTCTTTTTTTGTCGGTCATGGGGCTTGAACTCTGGGCCTGGGCGCTGTCCCTCAGCTCTTCAGCTCAAGGCGAGCACTCTATCGCTTGAGCCACAGCACCACTTCTGGTTTTCTAGTGGTTTATTGGAGATAAGAGTCTCAGGGACTTTCCTGCCCAGGCTGGCTTTGAACCACGATCCTCAGATCTCAGCCTCCTGAGTAGCTAGGATTTCAGGTGTGAGCTATCGGTGCCCGGCTAGGGTTCATCTTTTCTTACTCCTGGATAACCAGTTGCCTGGTAGGGATTCCCCACTTCCCGCCCCCCCCGCCCCCCCCCCCACCCCCAGTCCTGGGGCTTGAACTCAGGGCCTGGGCACTGTCCCTGAGCTTCTTTTTCTCAAGACTAGCACTCTACCACTTGAGCCACAGCCACCACTTCTGGCTTTTCCTGTGTATGTGGTACTGAGGAATGGAACCCAGGGCTTTGTGCATGCTAAGCAAGCACTCTACCACCAAGCCACATTCCCAGCCCCTGGTAGGGCTTTTTAAAACTATATAATGGTTTGGATATGATCTCTGTTTCCCAAAGACTTTTTACTCATTTTTATTTGTTGGCGGGTTCTGGGCTCTGTCTCTGAGCTTCTCTGTGCTTAAGGCTAGTGTTTCACCGCTTGAGCCACAGTGCCCCTTCCAGCTCTTTTTTTTGGAGTAGTTTATTGGAGATAAGAAGTCTCCAGCAGCCGGCCCAAAGACTTTTTTTTAAAGCCCTGTGCAACAGATTCCCCAAATGAAGCAACACTTAAGTATCAACCCCACAGTTTTATTTGTAAAGAACAATGCATGAAAAGTCATATTGAAATGTACTCCAAACCCTGAAAAACCCACGTCGGTTTGTCTGATATGTTAAAGTGCTTAAAATCACAATACTCTTTAAATTTCATGTTATATTCAGATGAGGGAAAGAAATTCCAGTTCTGATATATTGTGTTAACAATACAAATGAAAACAATAATTTAAATGCAGAAATGCTATTTAAAAAAAAGACAAGAAATGGTGACACGGTTCAAGTAGCACAGAGGGTTTTTCTAAGTTTCACACCTTCATCTAATTGACAACAGGAAATCCTTGGATGGATGTGTCTACTCTCAACAGAATCTGGTGTTTACAGTAAAGTTTGGGACCAAGACATTTTCGAGTCCCCCATGCACCACTTCAAGGTGCATGGATCCCTTCAAAGTTTTTTTAAGGAAACTTTTTCCCTCTCTGATAGTAATGATTCATTCTGATGTTTGCACTGTCCAGTAGCTTTTCCTGCTCAGGGCTAGCACTCACCACTTGAGCCACACCTCTACCTCTGGCATTTTGCTGGTTGACTGGAGGTAATCACAGACTGCCATACCTCTACCTCTGGCATTTTGCTGGTTGACTGGAGGTAATCACAGACTTTCTGGCCTGGGCTGCCTGGGCTGGCTTTGAATTGTAATTCTCAGATCTCCACCTCCCCAGTAGCTAGGATTACAACCATCAATGTTTTCTAGTATGTTTTTTGAAGCTGGTCTTATCCTTGACTGGACACCAGCTCTAAGGAGTTTTGGGAATCCTTGTTTTTTTCTGAAGCCAGGGACTCTAGAATATATCCTACCCCAGGCCTTCCTTAGATTGTATTTGTGTGTCTGTGTACTGTTCCTGAGCTTCTTTGCTCAAGGCTAGCACTCTACCACTAGAGCCATAAAGACCACGGCCAGCTTTTTGAGTAGTCTCATATCCTTTCCTGCCATAGCTGGCTTCGAACCTACAACCTCAGATCTCAGCCTCCTGAGTAGCTAGGATTACAGGTGACTAGCCTTAAGTCTTCTGATGGTACTATCACAGCAACATCTTCTAAAGTTGGAATTCATCTTATTCGACAGATTTGCCGATGTATTTTCATATCAATAATGTACTAATTTGTCTTTCTGGTTTCCTACTTATGCCCAAACTATATGCCCTAACTACATGTCAAACTATATAGGAAATAGAGATGGCTAGAGACACAGATGACCTGGAAATGTACTTCCCTTTAGAGACACAGATGGCCTGGAAATGCATTTCCCTTTAGGAAAGCAGGGAAGAGCTCTGGACTCCATTCTTAGGCAGTGAAGGTGTGGTAATATCAAAACATAAACAGGCAAAGTTCTGATTGTCTTTCCAACATTGTGACAAGTATGTGTAAACCTCACAGAAAACATTCAATTTCCTAAAATTGTAATTCTTAGCAGAAAGAAGATATTCCTTATAAAGAGCTAGATTCCCAGAGCTTCAATAAATACTTTAGTAATTTCTGATGTCTCAGATCTGATATTCTTGTGTATTGCCTTTTTGTTTTAATTTTATTGCCAATATTGGGGCTTGAACTTAGGGCCTGGCATTGTGTCTTGGTTTAGGTTTTTTTTTTTTTTTTGGGTCAGTCATGGGGCTTGAACTCTGGGCCTGGGGGCTGTCCCTCAGCTCTTCAGCTTAAGGCCAGCGCTCTACCACTTGAGCCACAGCAATACTTCCGGTTTTCTGGTGGTTATTTGGAGATAATTCTCACAGGATTTCCTGCCCAGGCTGCCTTTAAACTGTGATCCTCACACCTCAGCCTCCTGAATAATTATAGGTGTGGAACACCAGCACCTGGCTGAAGTCTGATTTCTTGACACTTACTAGGTAAGCCGTGGCTGGGGGCAAGGCTACTTCTTACTCCTCACACTTGCATCTTAATGATTTGATGCTGCTTGCAAATAATACATTTATTCAATAAGGCCAAGATTTCCCATTGTTGGGGGGTGCGGAGTGAGGTGGGGGTGGAGGTGAGGGTCTGTCCCAGGGGGAGGAAGAGCCTCCCTGGGGAAGAGGAGGGCCAAGGTTTTTAATTAGACATGATCCTGTACAATCATACTACACAAGATGGGATGAAACATGTAAAATGATACTTTCATTCACAGGCTTGAATGCAACTTTGCTCCCAGTTTTTGCAACAAATGATACTTTTAATAGCTCCAGAGAAATCTGTTAAAAATAACTCATAGTCTTCATAAATGAGCATTAGGACTTATCATGTATGTGTGTGCGCACACACGTGTGCGCATACACATGTGCCAGTAGTAGGGCTTAAATTCAGGACCTCACACTCTCACTTGCCTTTTTCCACTCAAGGCTAGCACTCTACCACTGGAAGCATACCTCCACATCTAGCTTTTTGCTTAGTTGGAGGTTAAAGTCTCATAGGCTTTCCTGCCTGGACTCAGTCCTGAGCCTTCTGAGTAACTAGGATTATAAGAAGGAGCCGCTGTGCCCGGCTGGGGTATTATTTCTTATCTGTATGGGTGGATGAATAAAGATCCAGGAGGAATTTGGGTTAGAATGCCCTGAGGTTGGGTGCTTCCTGCAGCTTGGTGTAGTTCAGGCCCTGGTTGTCCAGGGCAGCTGGGGAGGGGCAGGGGGTCACCTCCATTCCCTGGGTGCTGACTGTGTCATTGGGAACAGTGGCAGATCGACTCTCATCCTTGCACATAGGGTGCCAGGTGCTATGGTGGCCCACAGGACACTTCTGGTATCTCTAGGGCTGCTACACTTTCTTTTGAGGTAAACAAACCTGTGGTGTCCCTGGAGCCATCTTCTGATCCCTTTCAGCAGGTTTCTCAGCGCGTCCTCAGCGTGCATTGCTGGGGCTGCGGAATGGTGTGGCCCTCACATGAAAGATGGGAAGATGGAAGGGTGGGTTTGGGTTTGAGGCCATCTTGCTGCTAACCAGGCATCAGTGCCAATCAGATGATCTCAAGACAACAGCTAACAGCTCATTGACTTTCTTTCTTTGTTCCTTCCTTCCTTCTATCCTGGGGTTTGAACTCAGTGTCTGGGCACTGTCCCTGAGCTTTTTTGCTCCGCACCTGAGCCACAGCTCTACTTCCAGTTTTTTGGTGGTTAACTGGAAATAAAGTCTCCTGGACTTTCCTACTCAGATGGCTTCAAACTACCTCAGCCTCCTGAGGAGCTGGGACTCAGGTGTAAGCCTCTGGGCTGACTGCGTGTCTTTATAAATACCACACTGGAAAGCTCTTGGTCTTTTGTCCTTTTGGGCTAGTCTTTTCTCTCTCTAGGAACACAAAGCTTGCCTTCAGACACCCAGAAAGGGCTCCACCTCCCTCTAGTTCTGATATTTGAGTTATTATGGCTAACAAATACTTCCACAAAAACATTCTATGCCACCTCCTCCCCTCCCTGCCATTCCTTCTGAGGGGCTGGGACTGAACCAAAAAGGGGGCTGGGCCAGCTGGTGGGTTTACACAGGGGAATCAAGTGCTTCCTGAGGCATTATGACTCCAATGACCCTAATGCTCCAACTCTTATCTCTCACCCTGCCTCAAATAACAGTAATAAAAATGCCAAGGATGAAGCTGGCCTGGCTTCCCCAGGGCTTCCTACCCTGTGCTCAGCAGCCCCAGCCCGGGTTTCAATACTGGAATTAGATTTTTTCCTTGTGTTGACTGAAAACAATTTTCAAAAAGACTTATAAAATGGTTTATAACTTAGAACACAACAAGGACTATGGTACAGCAGGTATAGTGCATACATTCATTCTCCACACAGGGAACAGGACAGCAGGGTGGGTGGATGGACAGACAGAAGGACGGCTGCATCTGCTGGGTGGCTGGTGGTGGGGGATTTACAGGTTCACTGGCTTCTTCCTGACTAGCACCACGCTCCCCACCCCATGCCCCCCACTTTAAGCTACTTCATTTTTTTTTAAATCACAGGAATAGTCAATCTAGGAAAAGTATCTTATTAGAGTAATAGAATTTCTTAAAGAAGATAGCATATTTACACACATCTAACACATGAAAATACTCTATTTTATACTAAATTCCAGGTTCAAATGAACTACAATAGGACACTTTGCCTAGGCTGCAGAGTGGAGCTGGGCATGAGGGCCATGGTGGGGAGCCCTGCCGGTGCTCACCACAGCCACAGGCCCAAGTGGGGTCCCCACGGCTGGAGAAGGGACAGCAAGCCAAGGGTCAGGACTGCAAGGCTACACATCCACCCCTTTGATGAGAGAGCCTTCCAAGACGATGGTGAAGTCCTGGATGGTCTGCAGGACGCGGATGAGGGTGCTGACGGCCATGTGGTCTCGCAGGATCGCGCTGTCCTCATACATCCGGGAAACCACAGGACACTCGGCCAACAAGGGGATCCACTCTGGGAGCAGGTGGTCCCTGCAGACCCAAACACAGACAAGGTCTGAGCATAGAGGACCTCTAAAAAGCCCTGCCACAGCATCTACAGACCTGGAAATTCTGCTGGAGAAAACCAAAGCTACAGGCTGGGAAGGTGGCTCAGTGGTAGAGTGCTTGCGTTGCATGCATGAGGCCCTGGGTTCGATTCCTCAGCACCACATAAGCAAAAAGAAAAAAGCTGGAAGTGGCACTGTGGCTCAAGTGGTAGAGCACTAGCCTTGAGTTGAAGATCTGAGGGACAGCGCCCAGGCCCAGAGATCAGGCCCCACGACCAGAGCCCCCTACCCCCCTCAAAAAAAAAAAAAGAAAAAAAAGAAAACCAAAGCTACCACGTTGGACATTTACTGGTCAAAAGAATAAGACTAGCCTCATGCTGGTGGCTCACACCTGTCATACTAGCTACTCAGGAAGCTGTGATCTGAGGATTGTGATTTGAAGCCATCCTGGGCAGGAAAGTATGTGAGACTTTTTTTTTGCTGGTCCTGGGGCTTGAACTCAGGGCCTGGGCATTGTTCCTGAGCCTCTTTGTGCTCAAGGCTAGCACTCTAGGGCTTGAGCAACAGCTTTACTTTTGGCTTTTTCTGAGTAGTTTATGGAGATAAGAGTTTTATTGACTTTCCTGCCTGGACTGGCTTTGTACTGGGATCCTCAGATCTCAGTCCACTCAGTAGCTAGCATTACAAGCATGAGCCATCAAGTGCTCGGCTTGTGAGACTCTTACCTCCAATTCACCACTAAAAAACAGGAAGCGGAGCTGTGGCTCAAAATGGTAGAGCATTAACCTTGAGCACAAATGCTCAGGGACAGCACCTAAGCCTTGGGTTCAAACCCTATGACTGACAAAAAAAAAAAAAAGAGTAAGACTAATAGAAAAATCCATCAGATTCTAACAGTATATTAGAAAATCAACTTACATGAAAGAAATTCTCTATTGTGGTTTCAACTACCTTTTAAAAGAAGGTAGGGGGGCTGGGAAGGTGGTTCAGTGGTAGAGCGCTTGCCTTGCATGCATGAGGCCCTGGGTTCAATTCCTCAGCACCACATAAGCAAAAAGAAAAAAGCCGGAAGTGGCGCTGTGGCTTAAGTGGTAGAGCGCTAGCCTTGAGCTGAAGAGCTGAGGGACAGCGCCCAGGCCCAGAGTTCAAGCCCCACGACCGGACCCCCCCCCCCCAAAAAAAAAAAAGAGACAGTAGGGCCAGGTGCTGGTGGCTGATGCCTGTAATCCTAGCTACTCAGGAGGCTGAGATCTGAGGATCACAGTTCAAAGCCAGCCTGGGCAGGATACTCCATGAGACTCTTATCTCTAATAAACCACTAGAAAACCAGAAGTGGCGCTGTAGCTCAAGTGGCAGAGCGCTCACCTTGAGCTGAAGAGTGCAAGGACAGTGCCCAAGCCCAGAGTTCAAGCCCCACGCCAACTGACCGACCAAAAAAAAAAAAAAGAAGGTAAGGCTAGGCCAGGCACAGGTGGCTCACGCCTATAATCCTAGCTACTCAGGAGGCCAGCTAGGCCAGAAAAGCCCCCACGAGATTCTTATCTCTAACTACTCACTCAAAAAAAAACACAAAAAACCCAGAAGTGGTGGAAGTGATACTTTGGCTCAAGTGGTAGAGCGCTAGCCTTGAGGTGAAGAGCTGAGGGACAACGCCAGGCCCAGAGTTCAAGCCCCACAATCGATGAAAAAAAAAGAAAAGAACCAGAAGTGGTGCTGTGGCTCAAAGTGGTAGAGTGCTAGCCTTGTGTAAAAGAGCTCATAGAAGCATCCAGGCCCTGATTTCAAGCCCTACAACTAAAGAATAAATGAATGAATGAATGAATAAATAAATAAATGAAGGCAGGGTGGCATCTCTCTGTAGTCCCAGTACTTGAGTGGTATAAACAGGAGACTGAAAGTTTGAGCCTGTCTGATCTAAACCCAAACAAAAAGAAGCAGAAGCACTGGGTATGTGGCTCAGGAGTAGAGTGCTGCCCTAGCACCCCAGACCCATTCAGGACAGAATCAACAGTAGTAACAGTAGTAAGAAGAGGGATACTTCTTCTTTTTTTGTCGGTCATGGGGCTTGAACTCTGGGCCTGAGCACTGTCCCCTCAGCTCTTCAGCTGAAGGCTAGCACTCTGCCACTTGAGCCACTGAACCACTTCCAGTTTTCTGAGTGGTTTATTGGAGATAAGAGTCTCAGGACTTTCCTGCGTGGGCTGGCTGTGAACCACAATCCTCAGATCTCAGCCTCCTGAGTAGCTAGGATTACAGGCGTGAATCACCGGTGCCTGGCAAGGGACACTTCTTTTTAGTAGTAGGAAAGTTTGAACTGAGAGCTTTGTGCTTACCAGGCAGGTCCTTAAGCCATGCCCTTTGCCCCAGAATATCGTGTGTGTGTGTGTGTGTGTGTGTGTGTGTGTGTGTGTGTGTGTGTGTGTGTGTGCGTGCGCGCGCATGTGCACGCGCATGTGTGCTAGTACTAGGACTTGCACTTCAGGGCCTTGGACTCTTAGCATTTTCTTGCTCAAGTTTGGTACTCTGCCACTGGAGTCACACCTCCATTTCTAGCTTTTTTGCTGGTTAATTTGAAATAAAAAATTCTCAGATTTGTCTGGGCTGGCTTTGAACTGGGATCCTCACATATTAGCCTCCTGAATAGCTAGAATTATAGGAATAAGCCACTGGCACCTGGCTTGCCAACTTCTTTTTGCCCAGACTGAACTTGATCCATGGTCCCTTGATCTCTGCCTACCAAGTAGTTAGGATTACTAGATTTAGGTTTAAGCCTTCATACCTAGCTTCTAATTTTTGTTGCCAGTTCTAGGACTTGACTCAAGGCCTCTGGCTCTCAGCCAGCCAGGCTACTTATGGCTGGTGTTCTTACCACTTGAGCAAAGCCTCCAGTCTAGCACGCTGCTAGTTAACTGCAGATGAAGTCTCACAGACTTTTCTGTTTTGGACAACTTCAAATCATGATCTTCCAGGTCTCTTGAGTAGCTAGGATTATACGCATGAGCCACTGATGCTGCTTCCCCCACCCCTCTGTGGTGCGAGGGCTCAAACCCAGGGTCTCACACATGCTATGCAACACTCACTGTCTTACAAGGCCAGTCCTGCTTTTTTTCTTTTTCAGGCAGGAAAAGTTTATTTAATGAAATGCTGCCCCGCATGGCCGCAGGGGCTGCTTTTTTTTTTTTTTTTAAATAACAAAATTCATGTAATGAGGTGAGAAACAAAATCACAGCAGAAACACAAGCAGCAGATCCTGAAACCCAGATGAGGGTTTGCGTGGGTCTAATAAATTGAGCAGTATAGAAATAAATGGAGACATAGATCATACTTAAAAAGAATGCAGAAGCACAGCTGAAATTGGGCCCCTTTTATGAAGAAATAGGGAACCTGGGTTTTTTTTGGAAGCCAGCTGTTTCTACAGGACAAGTCACATCTTTTGCTGCTTAGTGGCTTGAGCATCTTCACCTTCCCTCCAAATACCTTTCATGACAAGGACAACCAAAGAAAGGCCACTGTGAATCTCTTAAAGCTTAGGAGAAAATGTGGTGGCTAATGCCTATAATCCCAGCCCTAGACCCCTTTTCTCAAGCAATCATTGGATGTGGTGTCATGTGCCCATCATCCCAGCTACTTCAAGAAGCACCATAGGATGTGGTACAGGTCTTAGCAAGAGTGAGACCCTATCTCAAACACCTGCCAAGCAATCATGAGGTCTTGAATTCAGAGCCCATTACTGTCCTCCACCAATCTTTTTTTAAAAATTAGTTTATTGTTGTTCTAAAGGTGATATTCAGCAGGGTTACCTTTACATAAGTCAAGTAATAAGTACCTTTTGCTTCATCCATCTGTTCCCTCCTTCTCTCCCATTCCCTCCCTCCCATCTCTGTCCATGAGATGTGTGGTTCACTATCATCAATGTCCAGTGCAGGAGGTACGCCCTGTCACTACATATTTTCACCTGTTTCCCACTGATTCTGTGCCTTCCCCCCTTCCTCCATATGTGCACACCTCCACCAATCTTTTAAGGTCCATGTGTAGAACCTACAATTCTGAGAGCTGCTTAAAAATTAATAAATTGTATAGTTCCTATGTGTATCTGTGTGTATGTATATGTATGTGTATGTGTGAGTGTGAGAGAGAGAGAGAGAGAGGGAGGGAGGAGAGAGGAGAGAGAGAGAAAGAGAGAGAGAGACAGAGAGACAGAGAGAGAGAAAGAGGGGAGAGAGGGAAAAAAGAGAGACTGGAGTTTGAACTCAGGAACCTGTGCCTGCTAGGCAAGTGTTTTACTATTTGAGCCACATGTTCAGCCCACCAATGTATGAGTCACAAAATAAGGGGCAGCTAGGGGGCATGCCTTAGTGGTACAGTGTTTGCCCAGCATGCTCAAGCTCTAACTCTGATATTGAACACTATAAAAATGTAAGGTAAAATAAAAAGTAAAGGGATAGGAAACAGTCTTAAAGAAGAAAACACAACAAGATCCCACAATGTACCAGGCACTGGTAGCTCACATCTGTAATTCTGGCTACTCAGGAGGCTGAGATATGTGGATAGTGGTTCAAAGAAAAGCATAATGCCTAAGACTCCAATTAACCACAAAAAGCCAGAAATGAAGGTGTGGCTAAAGTGGTAGAGTGCCAGCCTTGAGTGAAAAAGCTAAAGACCAGCATACAGGCTCTGAGTCTGAGCCATAGTACCACTTCCTCACCCCCCCACAGGAATGAAAAGTGAGAAAGTAGCACTGTACCGGGCTCCAAGGCAAACTAGGATCTGAAATTTGCCATCTTTCCCGATGCTCCTAGGTGCGGCGTTGATTGAGCTCACGTAGTGGCAGAAGGTTTTGCAGGACGACCTCTGAACAAGGGCATCAGCCTCACAGTACACAATCTGCTCAGTGGTTTCGAAATAACCCACAGCTCTCTCTGAGGAAAAAAAGCAACCACACCAATGCTTCCCATACAGCACAACTCATCATTTATCTTATTCTGGAGCTGGTCCTCTAGCTCAAATCATGACTTCATCATGCAAGGGAGAATGGCTTCCACACAGCCCCATGCTTCATGGCAGCACAGTATGCTCCCAGTAAGGACTTTTCTAATGAGGGTGCATTCTAGAAGATTGGAAAGTTTATCTATGGCACTGGGGTTTGAACCTACAGCTTCATGCATTCTAGGCAAGCATTCTACCACTGATCTATATCCCCAGCTTTTTTTCTTGTTTACTAGTATATACTAATTATACAAAGGGTTTTTATTGTAGTATTTCCATATATGCATATGATGTACTTTGATCAAATTCTATTCCACTACTCTTTCTTATTCTTTTCCCCCACTTTAAAGTTTTTTTTTTCTTTCTTTCTGTGTGCTGGTCCTGGGACTTGAACTCAAAGCCTGGATGGTATGCCTAAACTTCTTTTTTTTTTTGGGGGGGGGGGGGTCCAGTCGTGGGGCCTGAACTCTGGGTCTGGGCGCTGTCCCTCAGCTCTTCAGCTTAAGGCTAGCGCTATACCACCTGAGCCACAGCGCCACTTCCGGCTTTTTTTCTTCTTGCTTATGTGGTGCTGAGGAATCGAACCCAGGACCTCAGGCATGCAAGGCAAGCCTCTACCACTGAGCCACCTTCCTAGCCCCTGCCTAAACTTCTTTTGCTCAAGACTAGTGCTCTATCACTTGAGCCACGTTCTGGAGCTCCACTTCTGACTTTTTTGGTGCTTACTTGGAGATAGGAGACTCATAGACTTTCCTGCCCCAGTTGACTTTGAACTGTAATCCTCAGATTTCAGCTTCATAAGTAGCTAGGATTATAGGTATGAGCCACTAGCATCTGGTTTCCCTTGAAATGATTTAGTCTATTTTCATATATGAATATAAATATTGTGACCATATCCTTGTATCCTCTCCTTTTGTTTTTTTGTTGTCACTTCTGCTTGCTAGTCTCTGCAAATAGTCCCCTTGTTTTATACTTTTTTTTTTTAGGTCTAGTGTTGGCATAAGACAGTGAACATGTGGTATTTCTCTTTCTAGTTTGGTTTAATTTTCTTAATGTAATGCCTGCCAGTTCTACCCATTTTTCCTGCAAATTTACAACTTCATCCTCTTTATGGCTGATACACTCTGTGGTATATATTTACCACACTTTAGTCATTTATCAGGTGATGAATAGCCAGGTGGATTCGATAGCATGGCTATTTTAAGTAATGTTGTAAATAAACATGAGTGAGGTATTGATTGTTGACCTGCATGCCTTCGGATACACAGCCAGGAGGAGCATAGCTAGGTAGTTTCATTGTTAGTTTCTTGAGAAAGCTCCATCTGACTTTTGCTTAAATCTTTTTGCTCAAGGCTAGTACTCTATCACTTGAGGTAGCTTCTGGAGCTCCACTTCTGACTTTTTTGGTGTTTAATTGGAGAAGAGCAGACTTCCATCATAGCAGCACTAAGTGTATGTGGGTTTCTTTCCCCTCATCCTTGCCTGCATTTGTTGTATACTCAGGTATACAGGTTGGCCTCAAATTTGCTCTGGAGCTCAGGGTCCCTTTAAGCTCTTTATCCTCCTATATCAATTTGCTATGGCTCAAAGTGGTAGAGCGCTAGCCTTGAGCAAAAAAGCTCAGGGACGGTGTCTAGGCCTTGAGTTCAAGCCAAAAAAACAGACAAAAAAACTCACAAGCTGGGTGCTGGCGGTTTGTGCCTGTAATCCTAGCTACTCAGGAGGCTGAGAACTGAGGATCTCATTGCAAAACCAGCCAGGGGTAGGAAAGTCCATGAGACTCCTATCTCTACTACACTAGCAAAAAAGCTGGAAGTAGAGCTGTGACTCCAATGCTAGAGCATTAGCCTTGAGTGAAAAATCTCAGAGTCAATGTCCAGGCCCTGAGTTCAAGTCCTAGTACCAGCACAAAAGAAAAAAAAAACCCTCCCTAATCACTAGCCCTATTCACTTGAATTTATGCATACTGGAAGCCTCTCAATGACCTTCTAACAATGACTATCTGCTTAACTTACCCACGAAGTCCCAGATGAAAACATTCTTGTGAAAGATGCGGGCGGACTTGAACCCATGGTGGAAAACTTGCTCGAGTGCTGCCACCAGTCCGTTTTCTCCACACAGCAGCACAGTGAGGCTCCCTCTCTGTGAAGCATCACACACAGTGCTAGGGCTGAGGGAACAGGTCTCTGTAGCCAGCCCAGAGCTTACCCAGGAGAACCCAGTATGTGCACTGCCCACTGTGCCACCTGCACGAGCAGTGCGCAAAGCCCCTCAGGCCCATGTGATGGCCCTAGTACCTCTTTCTCAGGTTTGTGAAAATGCTTCACAATGTTGTTCACAGCTTCTCCAATTCCTTCTTGGATTTGTCCAGCATTGGGTTCTGGAAAAGAATGAACACAGTGGCTGCATTCTCATGAGAGATAAACAAAGCCAAGTATTATGGGGTGTCACCGGTGGCCACTCTGCAGGAACCACTGCACTGGAGTAGGCTGGCTTGGCCAAGGACTTTATCTTGGCACAATGGAAAGAATCTAGGCTGGGCACCAGTGGCTTGTAATCCTAGCTACTCAGGAGGCTGAGATTCTGAGGATCCTGGTTCACAATCAGCCTGGGATGGATTTAAAGGAATCCAAATGATCCCTAGATTCAACTTCAGCCGATGGTGTACAACCTCTAACGCAAGCCACGCAACTGCTCTCCTCTGACAAAACACCTGTTATGTGTGAGGCTTAAGTCACCTGGCCTGGAGCCTGTCACAAAATGCTATTAGTTCTCTAGGTGTGAGGAGCTGGTGGGGAAAACCCCTACCTGTGTCTCTCAGATGCTCCCCACCTTTGGTCTCCTGGATGGGTAAAGGCAAAGGTCTTCCTCCCTCCCTTTCTTCTCCTTCCTCTCTTCTTTCCTTCCCCTTTTTTTGTGTGCCAGTACTGGACAGAACCACTTGAGCTACACCTCTACTTCCTGCTTTTTTCTGGTTAATTGGGTAAGAGTCTCACAGACTTTTCTACCCAGGCTGGCTCTGAACCATAATCCTCAGACCTTAGCCTACTGAATGGCTGGGATTCCAGGCATGAGCCACTGGTGCCTGGCATCGATTTTCTTTCTTAATCTCCTTGCCATAGCATGAATGCAGCTGTTGTATGTTAGTGGCTGGAAGCCACATATGACCTTTGAGGCACATTGGAAAGCAGAGACCTCAGTACTCACTGGTGGCCTTTCCCGTCAGGGAGGTGATGCTCAGTCTCCTGGCACTTGTGGGCGACTTCTGCTGTGGGGGAGTGCGGCACTGCCGCGCCAGGTCCTCGTCCGATGTGGATGCCATGAGCTCTCCGATGAGGACCCTCTCCAGGCTCCCGTCATCAATGCCTCTGCCCAGCCACCGCCCGCATGGGAATCTGCAGGGCACACCGCCTGCTCAGTTGTTGTTGTTTTGGTTTATTCATTTTAATTAGATGTTTAAGATGGAAATGGTAAAGCCTAACATGTTAATGCCTGAAGGCTGTTTATTTATGAAAAATACAGAAAAGTAGAGAGGAATATGGTGGACATCCATACTCTTATCACAGACTTAACATTTTGCCATCTGCTTCTTTTTCTTGTTGGATTTTTGTGGGTCTGGGGCTGGGTACTGTCCCTTAGCTCTTCAGCTCAAGTTAAATGCTCTACCACTTGAACCACACTTCTGGTTTTCTGGTGGTTAACTGGAGATAAGAGTCTCATGGACTTTTCTGCCCAGGCTGGCTTTGAACTGCAATCCTCAGATCTCAGCCTCCTGAGTAGCTAGGATTACAATTGTGAGCCACCAGTGCCTGGTTCTGTCTGGTTACTTTTGGGCAGATTCTTTTGAAAGCACAAGTCCAGCTAGAAGGAGGTCACAGAAGCAAAGAAAAGGATGTCCACATAGGGTAGTGCAGGTGACAGCTGAGAGGACGTCTTTCTTAATTGTTTTAAGCTTCCTTTATGCTTTTTGAAGGCTGGCCTCCAACTCCAGCCTCCCACATCCTGGAAGTATAGGTGTGACCACCAGGTGCAGCTTTTTAAATTGTATTTATTTATAATTGTTATTATAAAGGTGATATACAGAGGGAATATAGTTTCATAAATCAGGTAATGAGTACTTAACTTTATATTATATAAATAAAGCAATATACAAGTGGTAGAGTACCTGCCAAAAACTGGGAGGCCTTGAGTTCAAACCTCATAAGTTTAAAAAAAAGGTAGTAGAAAAAGCTTTAGAACAAAAACCATTTACAACCTTGTGTCACCAGCTCCTGAGGTCACTTGCTTACCTGTATGTATGTCCTGTGATCTCATTTCTGACCATAACACAGTCCACTAGCCATTTGGCTAACAGTCCGGAGTTATCATGACCGATCTGAACAGTGGTAAGCTTCCCCAAGTTCTGGCACTGCAGAGACATAGCTGAATCAGAACTGTGATCCCACCTCAGCTTTGCATTCTTCTCAGCTTTGCAGCAGAACGTAGCTCCATCTCATAACTAGAGACCTATTGTGCATTTGTTCTAGAGAAACAAACTAGGGAGCCCCATGGAGAGACAGGAGAATGATGAACACTGGCCATCCATCACGGTGGGTGCCAGACTACAGACCTAACAAGGGCGGAAGAAAGCTATGGAGGAACCTAGAAACCTTATTCATCATAAAACAGTGATTTGTCCTGAAGGATGACAGGGATTTCAGTAAGTTGGAAAGGGTGCTAGCTAGAAAAAAAATGAAGCTGAGTGTTGGTGGCTCATGCATGTAATCTACTATAGCTATTTAGGAGGCTGAGATCTGAGGATCAAGGTTCAAAGCCAGTCTTGGCAGGAATATCTGAGACTTTTCTGGCTGGTCCTGTGGCTTGAATTCTCTACCACTTGTGACACAATTCTACTTCTGGCTTTTGGTGATTAACTGAAGGAAGAGTTTCAGGAACATTCCTGCCCAGGCTAGCTTCAAACTATGATCCTTAAATTCTTCTGAGTAGCTAGGATTACAGGTATGAGACCCCAGCATCTGGCTTGTAAGATTTTTTTTTTTTTTTTTTTTGGTCGGTAGTAGGGCTTGAACTCTGGGCCTGGGTGCTGTCCCTCAGCTCTTCAGCTCAAGGCGAGTGCTCTACCACTTGAGCTACAGCGCCACATCCGGTTTTCTGGTGGTTTTATTGGAGATAGGAGTCTCACGGTCTTTCCTGCCCGGGCTGGCTTTGAACCGCGATCCTCAGATCTCAGCCTCCTGAGTAGCTAGGATTACAGGCGTGAGCCACCAGCGCCCGGCTTGGCTTGTAAGACTTTTATCTCCAATTAACAACCAAAAACCCAGAAGTGGAGGTGTGGCTTAAGTGGTAAGAGCTTCAGTCTTGAATGAAAAAGCAAAGTTTGGATAGAAAGAGATTGAAAAATAAGATAAATGAATTATCAAAAGAGATTCAAAATTTCAAACAAGAGATGCATTCAAAAATAGATGCAGCACACACCTCTTTAAAAGAAAAAATTAATACTTTGAGAACCAACATAGAAATCATAAATGATTCAATTTCCTCCATGCAAACCACAATGGAAGTCACAGTTAATAAAGTGAATGAGGGGGGGGACCAAGATGGCGACGGGGCAGTAGGGAAACGCCATAGCTCTCTCCAACCAAAAAGAGAGTTCGAGTTCCAACCTTTAATCTCCCCAAGAGACCGACAACAACAAAAAGACGAACACTCAGAGAAAAACCAGAGGTGGAAAATAACAAAAAAAAGAAAGAGAGGAAAAGAAGAATTTCAGAACAGAGAAGAGCGAAGACCCCTCCCCCAACCTTTACTGGCCGCACGGCAGTGCGCCAAGCCGCCGGCCAGCCGGAGCCACAGAGACACAGGGGGCTGCTTGCAGATCACCAGGTACCGGATTGCAGAACAGTGGATCGCCAGGAACAGAGAAACCTACCAGCCGGGAGTCTCCAGGAGGATCCCACCCCACCCATCACTCTCCACCGGAGCGGAGAGGCTCCATCCCGCCAAAGCCGCCCGGCACCAGCAGCGCCACAAAGGGACCTGTCTGCAGACCACCCGCCCAATCGCGATCGCAACGACCCGGCGGGGGGCCGCCCAACCCAGCCCGCAACCACCCCAACTGAACTCGGACTGCAACAACAACTGACAGACTGCAACAACAACTGACGACCTACAGGGTGAGTACCCATCAGGGGACAGGGAATCCATCAAGGGAGACCAGAGCTGGAGGGAATCCCCAGACCCTGACCTAGACTCCCTACCCCAACACCCGGACCACAGGACCCACTAAAACTGGGAACTGTTCGAGAGCTCCACCAGCCGGTGGAGCACACTCTGCTGGCCAGGCCAGAGCAAGAGCGCCCCTGGAAGGGAGCTTAAATGCTCAAGCCAGGAACAGTGCCCCTGGGTCAAGACTACCAACAGTAGAAGAAATTTGAACTGTGTCCTCCAGGCTGCATAACCAAGGTGGTATACACATTAGCACAGGCCTAACGAGCGCGCTCCAGGCTGGGGCCGGAACCAGGCCAGGGGACCGGTGCCTGAACAAAGCAAAAAGGGTCAGAAGTGGGGCTGTGGCTCAAATGGTAGGGTGCCAGCCCTGAGCTGAAGAGCTGAGGGACAGCACCCAAACCTAGAGTTCAAGCCCACAACCAGCCCAAAACAAACAAACAAAAACACATCAGGAGCCCATAGCAGACTCCAGTATTTGGGAGAGTGCATCCAGAGCATCTGATCTTCCCAAGAGCACCCGCAGGAGCAAACACAAGCAGTCTAGGCTGCTCAACCCTTCCAAAGGCGGGAATTGCTACAGCAGAGAGCTGAGAATCCTAAGTGAATAGCAGCTGGAAATAGGCTCCCAACAGAATCCAGATCAGGCACAGACTCTCTCTACCAATACAGAATCAGCAACCAAGCAAAGACAGACACACCAAAACAAGATTGAAGAGCAGTCTCCTGAACCCCCATGCGAAAATCACAGAGAAAAATCACAAGGTTTACCACTACCCAGGACAGCAAGCTCACCTCAAAAGCCAGCAGCCACGCAGGGGAGAGCCCCAGTGGGAGCAAAGCAGGAATGGAAGACAAAAACTACATCCAAGGGTTGCTGGAGGCAATGACTCAAGAAATAAAGCGAGAAATGGATCAGAAATTGAAAGAGCACAAGGATGAACTATCAAAAGATATACAGGATATCAAACAAAAATTGGATGCAAAAATAGAAGCTGCACAAACCTCAGTAAGAAGTGAGATAAACGCCAAATTAGAGGTAATGCATACTGATCTCACCTCATTGAGAGGTGAGATCAGTACTCTGAGAACCAACATTGAATCCATAAAGGGATCCATTTCCACCATGCAAACCACAATAGAAGCCACGGTCAACAGAGTGAATGAAATGGAAGGTAGAGTGTCAGATACAGAAGACAGAATACACCAACTGGACCAAAAAGTGACAGATATGGAAAAATCACTCAAATTAAACCAAAGGGAAATTCAAGAGCAAGCAGATAATGCTAAAAAATTTAACCTTCGCATAATCGGAGTGGACGAAGGTGAGGAATTCCAGAGCAAGGGAATGCAACACCTATTTAACAAGATAGTCAATGAAAATTTTCCCCACCTCAAAAACGACCATCTTAACTACATCACAAAAGCTTATCGAACACCCAACAAGCAAGATCCCAGGAGAAACACGTCTAGGCACATAATAGTAACAATGATGGATCTGAATAATAAGGAAACAATCCTGCATGCAGCAAAAATGAAGAAGGAGCTATACTACAACGGGAAAAAAATTAGAATCACTGCAGATCTCTCCACACAAACAATGAATGCAAGAAAAGCCTGGGAAAGCACCATACGAGCCCTGAGAGCCAATAACTGCCAACCCAGACTGATATACCCGGCAAAGCTAGCATTCACATTCGATGGAGAACTGAAAACTTTTAATAGCAAAGAAAAACTAAATGAATACATAAACATTAAGCCAGCATTACAAAGAATTCTAAGAGGGGGGACACAACCTGAAGAAAGCAACCAGGAACTGGGACCTGCCCCAAACAGGCATTACTCAAAGTCTAACTGAGCAAGCACAGGAGGAAAGGAAAGAAGAAAAACTTAGGAAAACGGAATGGCAGGGACAACAATGCATCTCTCTATACTTTCTCTTAATATAAATGGGCTGAATTCGCCAATTAAAAGAAAACGAACTGAGGACTGGATCAGAAAACAAGACCCATCCATCTGTTGCCTTCAGGAGACCCACCTCTCAGCCAAACATACAAACAAACTCAGAGTGAAGGGGTGGAAAAGGATCTACCAATCAAATTCCCCCAATAAGAAAGCAGGTGTAGCTATCCTGATATCTGACAAAATAAACTTTTCATTAAAATCAGTACAGAAAGACAAGGACGGACACTACATATTAATAAAGGGAACAATCCAAGAGGAGGATATAACCATCATCAACTTATATGCCCCAAATATCGGTGCACCCAGATATGTTAAACAAATGCTCTCAAACTTACAGAATAAAATAGATCCCAATACGATAATACTAGGAGACTTTAACACGCCACTCTCACCAAAGGACAGGTCTACCAACCAGAGGATTGGCAAAGAAGCTACCGAATTAAGTGAGGCCATACTTCAAGCGGAATTAACTGACATCTACCGAGTATTTCACCCTAAAACAACACAGTACACATTCTTCTCAGCAGCTCATGGAACTTTCTCCAAAATAGACCATATCATAGTTCATTCAAGGAACTTAAGCAAATACAAAGGGATCGACATAATCCCCTGTATCCTATCTGACCACAGTGGAATCAAGCTAGCTCTCAATAACAAAGCATACCGCAGAAATTTCTCTAATACATGGAAATTGAACAGCACACTCCTTAACAAGGCCTGGGTAACAGAAGAGATCAGAGAAGAAATAAAGCATTTCCTAGAACTCAATGAAAATGAAAACACCTCACAAAGAAACTTGTGGGACACAGCAAAAGCAGTCCTGAGGGGCAAATTTATTGCCCTCAGTGCCCACACCAAGAGAATGGAGACAGACCAAGTAAATAATCTCATGTTGCAACTAAAACAGCTAGAAAAACAAGAAAAAATGGGACCTAAAGCTACTAGACGAAGCCAGATAACCAAATTGAGAGCAGAGATTAACCAACTAGAAAATCAGAAAACCATAACCAAAATAAACCAAACAAAAAGCTGGTTCTTTGAAAAAATAAACAAAATTGATGGCCCGTTGGCAAGATTAATTAAAAAAAGAAGAGAGGAAACCCATATTAATAGGATTAGGGATGCCACGGGAAACATCACAACACGTACCCAAGATATCCAAACAATTCCAACAGACTACTTTCAAAAGCTATACTCTCTAAAGGAAGAAAATCTGGC